TCTCTGGTTGGCTGCCTTCCTTTCCCGCATGCCATTAGATCGCAGAGAGACACGGGATTGGCTGAGGCCAGGTGGTCCAACATGTCTGCGCCCTAATCCGACGCCACACCACAACTCACCTAACGAATTGTGTTTTCGGTGATATTTTATATTTTTGCTTATAAATTTCTTGCTGTATGTTAATTTTAATCTTTGTCTAAAGGTCACAATCGTTAATGAGGTTTTCTTCATTTAAGCGTCATTTTTTGACTTTAAATCACTTCGGCAGTTAAAAGTAGTTTTTCGGAATATTACCATAATGCAATTGCAGGAAGCATCTAATGCTTTCATAGTATTTGATACTTCTGGATCTGACAATGTTATTTGGTCTCAGCTGTTGTTCTTCATTGAATTGTCTGTCATGGTATCTCGATTACAGCAGCGCCGCGTTGTAGTCCCATTGAAATTGTTATCATTTTCTGAAAAGGAGCCAGTTGTGGTGATTGTTCCCTAAAAATTCTCTGAGTCCATACATCAGCTACTGCTCTGCATTCTAATGCCAAACGTTCGTCACGACTATGGCCAGGAAATTGCATTTTTTATTTAATGAAGTATATTTTGCCCCGAATTGCTGGTTGATCACTTTGTTTAAGGTAAGGCGTTTGTTGTTGATGGAGATGATTTTCGTCTAAATTGATTCCAACCTAGTTGTTGAAGTGGATCGGCGAGTTGTATGTTCGGTACTTGCAGTAGTTGCGCTCCTTGTAAGGTCATTTACTTCGGTTATTTTGTTTCATCTTTTGTTTTTATGTAATACCGTAGATAACCAATGAAACCGAAAAAGAGTGATGTAGCATACCTAACCGACTGCCCGAAGACCTTCGACCCATGGACCGTGGAACCACTCATGTCTGTGGCCTTTTTGGATCCCCTATTCGCACACAACGAAATCTCCCTCACGGATGCACAACCGCCCATCTCATTTCCAGACCTCAATCTCCCGCTTATTCGTTTCAATGCTGAGATCCACCGCGATTTTGACACAGGTGAAGCTGTCGATGAGGAAGTGATTTACTCGTGTTCCTCCACCATATTTGACACTGACGGCAAACCGAGTACCGATAATTCTTCCGAGGGACCTTCCGCTTCACAGACTGTGCTCTTGGAGATTTGTGGAAAACTTATGCCTTCCTTCAATGTAAAAGGGGGACCACTACTTAAGGAGTGTTTTGGCAACGTCCCGGTTTCGACGGCTGATGACGTGGTTGAGAAATTTCTCGCTCTGGGCTCTGAGGAAGCTCTAAATAAGTACTTGCCCTCTGACGAGGAGCTGGAACCTGATGAATCTCCAAAGGAAGTGGTGGAAGTGGAGGAACAAAAGGAACAAAAACGTGAAAAACTCGATCCAGAGACACAGGCTCTACTAGAAAAACGTTTGCGTAAGCCTACAGATGAAAAGACCTCATATTCCGTCCTGGTAGGTATCGTCATTTCTTACACCTTAATATCCTAGTCCTGTAGTTAGCGTTCCACTTATTTTGGTTCTGTACTTTGGAATAATGTTGACACTTAATTGCATCTCCACTTGACAACAGGGATCTTTTTGCGACTTGTTGTTTTTGAGGGCATGATAATAAAAGCGGAGGTAAATCTTGTTAGTTGAAAACGCTACTCTTATGTATAGCCTAAAAATGGTCAAATCGCCGAGAAATTGACTTAGAAAGTCTGTCAGCTCATAACTTTCCTGAGATTAAATCACAGGACAGTTATTAATCCTTCGCCTCTACTTGGAAATGTCATTTACAAGGCTTATTCTTATTTCTTGGGACGCTCTCTACTGTCCATGCTCTGCACGTCAATGCTCAATGCCAACGAATTTGCGACATTTTTTGAAGTAGTGACATTTGTCCACAGCGCTGTTAATGATGATTTTACCGAATGTTCCTAGGAGGATAGCCTGGAGAAGTTACCGCCGTTGGCTGAGCTCATACCTGACCCAGCGTTCAATTGGCCCTTCGAACTGGACACTTTCCAGAAACAGGCGATTCGCTGTCTAGAGCACAATCAATCGGTTCTTGTGTCTGCGCACACGTCGGCAGGCAAGACTGTGGTCGCGGAGTACGCCTGCGCGATGTGCAAGCGCCGCGGATCTCGCGCCATCTACACCAGCCCCATCAAGGCGCTGTCAAACCAGAAATTTCGTGATTTCCGGTGAGCAGTGATCAAGATTGTAGTTTTTTTTGGAGTAAACAGACGTTGTTTGGAATTTCCGACGAGATCTCAAGGTGCTGAAATGTAGACGTTTACAACCGAGGTCTTGGCCTTCCTGCATCGATTTCTATGTTAAATCTTCGCATCGAGTGATCTGTTAGTCTGTTAACGCGAGCCGTTTCATTTGTCGTGTTGCAATTGGTGAATTTGAAGTCCCTAGGCAGACTTTGAACAATTATAGACTGACGTTCGGTGACGACGTGGGCCTTTTAACTGGGGACATCAAAGTGGCAACCAAATCGAGTATCCTGGTGATGACTACTGAGATCCTTCACAACATGCTTTGCAACTCCGCTGACACCATCCACGACCTCGAGGTTGTTATTATGGACGAGGTAAATCATCCTATTGATGTCATCACGACTCAAGACATGGAAGCCCCATACCAGTTGCGTTGATCCACTTTGTGGTGTTGTAGGTGCACTACTTAAATGACAAGGAACGTGGCCATGTCTGGGAGCAGCTGATGATCATGCTGCCGCAGAGCGTGGTTCTAGTTTTGCTCAGCGCCACCCTGCCGAATGTCCTCGAATTCGCCGATTGGCTGGGTCGAATCCGTGGCGGAACCACGATCCACGTCTGTCAGACGTACAAACGGCCCGTTCCTCTGGAGCACTTTCTCTACACGGGCTGTGACACCCAGACACGAAGCAACTTATACCTCGTTGTGGATAAGGACGGCAAGTTCAGTCGGGAAGGTGAGTTGCTCTACACCACTGAATGCATCAAGTGTTTTGGGACCCGGTGGTGGAACAGAACGAACGATTTCTTGTCACAGCTACAGCCCCTCGTAATACCCCTCTTTTTCTCTATTCTCTAGGCTACAGGGAGGCGGTTGACTCGTTAACCAAGCCGAAGAAGGTGAGTAAGAAGGGCCAGGACCCGGGAGCTGTGGCTGCTGCAGGCAAGAGCGGTGAAAATTTTGATCCTAGTGAAATTGCCCGCATGGAAGCCAAACAGAAACCCAAGTCGCAGTATACCGGAGGCAAGGTGAACACACCTGGTCGCCAGACCTACAAGCCAAAAGGTGGGTATTGTAGACCCCAGAATCGGGTCTTAATGAGTGCGTGTAGAGCGGGAAATCCCAGTATCATCTTGGTGTGTAATACAACCGGCGAGTTGGAATCTGGCTTGTCAATCGGGGGTATTTGATCTCGTATTTCCTTTTTGCAGAATCCGAGGGCTACAATCGCGGCAACATGACAGACACAACCGTCTGGACTGGGCTGATTCGCATGCTGCAGGAGCGCGAACTGACGCCCGTCATTGTCTTTTGCTTTTCGCGGGCCAAAATCACCAATCTTGTCCACTGCCTCGACTCCATTGACCTGCTCAATAAGAGTGAGCAGTGTGGTTGGTTATCCTTGACCCCCCCCTCTCTCTCTCTAGTAAAGTGACTTCATTTACTGAGCCCCCAATGCAATCGACTGTGCTGCGTATTCTTGAACTACCTACCTAGTTGTTTGATATCGCCTCATCGATCTAAATTTAAAGCCATTCGTCAGCGGAGCATCACAGTTGATAGGCGTAGTGGCCGTTCCGCCTGTCTCTCCCTCATAAGCACAAGCCGAAGGCAAACCTAACGATTGTTATCCCCTTTAGGCGAGAAGAACGAGGTTATCGTGTTCCTGCGGGCTGCCATTGGTAATCGATTGAAAGCGTGTGACAAGCAATTGTCCCAAGTCCTCCTTGTACGCAGCCTCGCTGTGCGCGGGATTGCCATCCACCACGCAGGCATGCTGCCTCTCCTAAAGGAGGTTAGTCATTTCCCCATTTCCGATGTTTAGCCAGATTTGCCTATAAACGTCTCATTTCTTAGTGTCCTCACTCACACTAGCCGCGTTCATTGGCTGTCACTGAAAACCAAGCAACCAATCAATAGCACACAACATCCGGCGTGTGATTTTCTTGTCGCAAAGGTTCCACCGATCAGTCTCTTGGGTTTTATTATGTACCAGTAGTTAATCTCCCTCTTGTAGGTGGTTGAACTGCTGTTTCAACGAGGCCTGGTGAGAATTCTCTTCGCAACGGAGACGTTTGCCATGGGTGTCAATATGCCCGCTAGATGCGTCATATTCACAGCCATCCAGAAACACGATGGAAATCGACGGCGACCGCTTACTGCCGGTGAGTCTTCTTTCTTGCGTGAAGTAGTGTGTTGTGTTGTGATGGTGGTGGGATGTGACGCTGTATGTCTGCTTCCTCGCAAGGCGAGTACACTCAGATGGCGGGAAGAGCTGGTCGCCGTGGTCTTGACTCCACGGGAACAGTAATCATCATGTCTAACAACTACGAAGCAAGCGTCATGCCCACCGACCTTCAGATACAACAGATGCTCCTGGGTCAGGCTACCAAGTTGACGTCGCAGTTCAAAGTCACGTACTCGATAATTCTTTACCTCCACCGTGGTAACCTCCAGACACCCCAGGTATGCGACCTCTTTGGGCTATGTGTGTGTGTGCAGCTGCTTATAATAATGACTTCAACCGTCGCCTAGGAACTTATTAGTCGGAGTTTCATGTATGCGTCTGATCTGCGCTTCGAACGGCAGTGGAAACGTCAGTTGAAGTACCTCCAGGAGACGGTTCATTCGACGACAGTGCATAAACCCTCTTCCAGTCATTCACTGGCTCCGGGCGTTGTGTCCAGCAAGACTGCCCCGGTTGCCATCTCCAGCGGGGCCGACGACGCGGTTCCGCTCTCGTACTCGCAGGTCCGGTGTCCCGCGCATCCCCTCGACTCCGAGGCCTCTGCCCTGTCCCCCTGCGTGGGACAAATCGCGAGCTACTACCTGGTGCGTTTTACACTGTCAAAGCACTCCACGTCCTGCTTCATTCGGTAGGGAAGAATTAATTTCAGAATGCTAACACTTATAGAGCTCGGTTTTTGTAATCAATTTGGTTGGTGTACATGGTATTCTTTACGTTTGGCAGTCTTGTTGCCGTTGGCGTGACCTCACCTATGCGTGTGCAGCTTCCTCCGCGAATCAGCCTCTGTCAGCACTCTCCAAGATCTTCTCACCCGGCCGTCTTCTTCTCCTTCAACTCTCCACCGAGAGCGTGGCTCCGGCCGCCAAGAGCATGTCTGGCGCTAGTCTAGGTGCAAATGCCGGGTCCACGTGTGTTCCCAACTGGGTCACCCTGGGAGTTGTGCTGGACCTCACCAAAGCCTCCATTGATGTCGTCGTATCAGAGAATTCGCCGATCGCACGGTCCCATGTCACGGTATGTCCCTTTTCATCTGTTGTCATTTCAAGACAGCTGTGATTGCAAGCTGGGCTCTGATCTCTCGTATGATTACAATGTCTAGTTACTCGAAGCTCCACATAACCGAGAACTTGCACACTATCAAGCACTTCAATGTGTGTGTGATAGAAGATTTACGGCAATTTTATTCCCTGTACTAGCTTGCCATACTAACCTGGGAACTGCCCGCTTCACCGATAGCTGATTGCACCGGTGCAATTGGAGGCAGCCAGGCGGAGGAGGACGTTCTCGAATCCGGGGAACTCCGCCACCAGGCATTTACTCCGTTTCCGCCTCATCTGATGCCGAACTACTGCCCGAAGGTATGTACTATCGTGAACATGCCAGTTATGAAGCCGCCTCACACTCTGCATGGCTGTATGTCTCACTATGATGTGCATGAGTTCACATTCTAAGCCTAATTTTGTGCTGTTTAGTCTGTAGAAGAGAGCAAGTCGCGTCTCGTCTACGTCTCCGAGGTGCCGCTTACCGCGGTGCTGGCGGTCTTTTCCAACACCGTGGAAGTTGGAAACAGCAAGGCCTACGCCGAGACCATCTCCAATGAGCTTACGTGGTTCCGCCAACAGCAAATGGCCTCCGCTGAAGGCTGCTTTGTGATTCACAAGAAACGCGGTGACTCGCCCGATCGCAAGAAGCAAGTTTGTCTGCTCGCCGCTACAAACGAGGCGCTTTTCAACTGCGCCCAGAAGCGCCTATCTGGTGGCATCGAAGCACTGCCGTTTTGGCAGCACCTTGGTTTGGAGGTAGGTCCTCATTCTCGCAAATTTGACTGCACCACATAAATACCACAGATCTCAACTAGGCATAAAGTCCTTCCACAGCAACAGACAGAGTACCAGTTTGAAGTTTTGTGTCCTAGATATGCACTTGTAGATGTTATCGCTAGTTTCCTTTACTCCAGGGTCCAGAGGTGGACGAGTGGACAGCGTTGACGGAGGAACTGAGCCGCCAACCTGACGCGTCTGATGGGACACACAGGTTATCATCCGCCCCTCCCCCCGATTGCAGGGATCTCGTTGGTCACTTGAGTCTAGCCCACAGAACCACTCGACGGCGCTGGGCAATTGGGCGCTTGTCGGAGAAGTTGAAGATGAATCGCGGCGCCCTACTGGCTGACTACGAGGCTCGAGTCTTTATTCTCGAGGAGTTGGGCTTCCTAGACAAGACCACACGATCGGGCTGCCTCACACGAAAAGGTCCGTGTTGTTTGCATGGCGCAGGCGGGCTGCTTAGTAGATATCTTTCATCCAAGTTGCACTTGCCATTCCTACATCTGGCCTGCCTGATTGTCCACGGTTGCTGGTGTTTGTCTTCGTTACACATTCACTTGTCAACTGCTATTTCAAAACCTACTGCTATTATCAAAGTGAAATTCTTTCGTTTCAGGCATGGCAGCCTGTGAATTCCAGCAGATGGAGGTCCTTCTCGCCGAGGTTCTCTTTGACGGGTCCATAACACATCTGCCACCCGCAGACATAGCTGCATTGTTGTCGTGTTTTGTCTGTGAGTCGGGCATGGGTGGCGGTAGCAGTGTGCCACAGGGTACCAACGCCTCACTACCCCTGTCAAATCCTCTTGCTCCCCGCGTGACCATTGTCAACCAGGAGGACATCAACACCCCCACTTCTACGCAAAAGCACCCACTCGACGAGATTCCCCTTCCGACTGTTCCTGAGCACTTGCAATCGGCAGTTCGAGAAATGCTCAAGAAGGCTGATCAGGTACGAGAAAAAAATTTGTTAGCAGACCGTTCTGCGATTGTCTTGAGGCATTCCCGTCACTGCAGTTGTTGAACTGCGCCTATTCGCAGTTTCAGCCTTAACAACGTGCTGTGTTGATGTGCGTTTTAGTTGATGCGTCTCCAAGTGGAGTTCCAAGTTGACGATCCCGAGGCAGATACCCGCCTGAACCCGGCCCTGGTGGGAGCCACGTACGCCTGGGCCTGTGGCCAGCCATTCTCGGCCATCATCAACCTGACCACCTTCGCTGAAGGCCATCTCCTACGGGCACTACAGCGACTGGATGAGCTGCTGCGCCATGTGTGCAACGCTTGCCGTGGACTCGGTGACCAGGCCCTTGCGTCGCGCATTAACGACGCCCATGTGGCCATCCACCGAGACATGGTCTGTGCGCCTTCGCTCTACGTCGCAGAGGAACTCCCCTTGCCTCCCACCAACGAGCACAGCGTGGAGGTCTAGTCGATGACTCACCCAGCTGTGATTGGTTCCTCTGTCGCCTTGTTCGATAAACCCTGCTTTTGGGTATTTCCATTTTCCTTTTGTTTAGTCTTTGAGAACCGCCTTTTTGAAGAATTACTTATTTTCTGATATAAAACGGTTAGGGAACTTACTCGAGATGGATTTTTGTCCATTAATAAAGTGTTGTTCGCAACCTAGAATTTTGCCATGTGACACGAGACTTATGGGCACATGGTAAGAAGCGCTGTTGAAGATCGCGTGAGAAATGTGCCACAAGTCAGAATGTGGAACGTGAGGCAGCACACTTTCATGGTTCACAATGTGGTGGCCCCTTTCTCAATCCATCCACCACAAATTTTATGTAGCGGAATCAAGTTGTCTTGGTTACTGACGGCATTAGAGCATTATCTAACATGCAGCATGGCCTAGATGTAACGGGACCTAATTAGGTGGAGCTTATTCGCTACAGTACGAGCTAGGCGTCGCACAATGGTGCGAGATTTCGCGCCAATTAATAGCAACGCTTGGCAGTAATTAGGGTCCAGGTTCACTACAGCCGCCCTGCGTAATCCTCACCTCTCCATGCTACTAAGTTTGTGGTGTTTAATTGCGAGGGTTGGGCACCACGGTTATCTTTATTTCTGCGGTTCACTTGGTAGGAAGTAGTAGGTGGCCAGATTCAGTCTTTCTTATCACGCATGTAAAAAGTGGGGGCTAAACACGACCATCCCGGTTGTTAGGTACGCTTCTGCGAATCATCCATTCAGGCAAATCCGAATTAAGCTACAACCCCAAACTTTACCACAGTAGTGCCAGAATCACCTGCCGCAGGTTGGCACCATACACAAAGTGTACGCTCAGCGGAAGTGGTTGAATTTGACCGGTTCCAAAAGCCATAACCTGCTCGGTCATTTAATCAACGACCTAACTATGGTCTGTAAGGTCGAGGCAATACAGTAGTCCATTTATGAGAATGGAAGCAGACGATGTTATTATCCTCGTGAACCAATTTGCAAATAAACACACTTTTGACGATTGATACAAGGCGTCAGGCAGGTACCTGCATCGACAAATCCAATACGTGCAACAGACGAGCCGCTGTATAAGGGCCGCCGATCTAACGCAAATCGAACAAGACTTCTTAGTCTGTCAAGTTTTCATACCGCAACCTAAGAGCAAACGCGAGCGAGCCGGCACCCACTCCACTCCCTTAACGCGAAGAATTCAGAATGCGGGTGACGAATTCGAATGACGGCCCGAGCTCAGGGGCATTCAGTGCTTAAAAACCGAGCTGACGCGAGGTGAAACCTGATTTTCACAGACTGGATCTCGACGAGAATTCCCACAAGTGATGAATGCTAAGAAGGCACCAATGACTGAGCACGAAGTGCAAAGACACTTGGTGTTAACTGAGTGAACATCTACCGGTGTTTGAATTAACTGGTAGAATTTACCCACCTCATTTTAATGTGGGTTTACACCAGGATTTTAAGCAGGAGATTAGGTTAGCAGAAGAGGAATTAGGGCAGATTGATGGAGAACGACCCTAACTGTATTAGACAAATAAGTGAAAACGACGACTAGCGCCAAATTGCCAGTCACAGGTATAAGAAACAGCACAGAAGACAGCAGCGCAAGATACCCATCAGCCACTCTAGCTGATAGTAACACTACGGTCCCATTGATTCCGTAAAGAAATCCTTATTGCACCAGTCATTCTCAAACCGGAAGGCGAAGTTGGATGATGCCGAGCGAGTGGCTTCGGGCGTTGTTCAGATGCCCAGTTGCAGCAATAAAACCGCAAAAATTTCTGTTAACCATCGACATCGTGATGGCAACCAAGAATTAGACTAAAGACGTTCCCATCTAAACTTTATTCTAATTTATTGTGATTTATCAACAGAATAGGGAGCAGAAGGAAGAACTTCCTCCTTTGCATTAAGGATAGAAACGGCATCGGGAAGAGGCTTCCTAGGACCCGTGGCTCCTGTGCTGTCGTGGTTTAACATGATCTTCACCCTAATACCGAGGATACCTTAACGACAAATAAGTTAAACGAGGTAAACATACCTTGGGGCAAGCGAACATGTCGAACTGCACGATCAATGTAGTAATTCACCGGATCACCAGAATGAATCATCAGTCCGTCAGAAAACTTCATCGACTTGGCGCGCTGACCCTTGATCTTACCAGAAACGACAACTTCCGCGCCGCGAGCACCCGACTCCATTATAAAGCGCAGAACGCTATAGCAAGCCCTACCGACGTAGCGTTATAATTATATGGCCAATTACTTTCTAACAGGAAGACCACCCGTGAGTTTGTAGCGAAGTGACTCAGCTTGGGTCGTAGCACTGAGGCTTCGAGCCATCATTTTCTCAACGAACAACTCGATCGTCTTGGGAGAGCGGGTCCTTTTCTGGATTAAGGAAGTGAGCTCACGAATCCGACGGGATTGATCGCCCAAAACAGCTTGGGTTTTGGTTGCCGAAATGATAATTTCAGTACGACGCTCGTTAGACCGAACTTTCACACCGCTGTAACCATCTTCAGCAAGCTCACGACGAAGAAATTCGTCCAATTCTGCCTTGAAAACACCTGCAGACACAAACTACGGAAGACAAAATATTTATAACTTGTCTTCTTATATCAACAGAGTGGAAACACCCAATAAACAATAGGCCTTACCTTACGCTTCAAAGACATGCGACCAGCACCCGCCATCTTGCTAGCATGAAATATAAGTAAACTACGCGCGCATCCACGAGTGCTCATTCAAACGTCGGTCTTGAACTAAATTAACATGCACAAAAGAGGCCCTTTAATAATAAGTACGTGAAAAAATGAAGTATAATAGTTTATGGCATATAATATTAAAATAAACAATTAAACAATAATTTAAGTTATGAAAAAGAATGAAATGAAATATAATTCGAAAAGATGCAAATTCCACAGGTGTGCAAATTTCACAACATTTGTAATTATTCATCTGCAGTTACTAAGGAAAACGTGTAATACTTCTAACTACATATATATATATATATGTAGTTAGAAGGTAACAAATCATTTTCTACTTAAATTGATTAATTGGCAAAGCGTGACTAAGAGAGCACGTTTGTATGTTCCGTTTGCATATTTCTAGCTGTGGTTACGTTTATGATTGTGAAATGGCATTTGAAAGACATCGTCCACTTTGTGTGTCAAATTCTGAATAATTACGCTATTCATTTACTTTAACGAGGAAAATTATAGCCAAAACATAATGGCACAAATTTTGGATGTTTTAAAAAATTATTCCAACATGGAAGCTTATTGCCCTAAATTTTACTGTCACAAAAATCCACATCAAAATTTTTGTTTCTTGACGCCACTGCAATAACTATTATAATTACCATACAATCATAACATAGCTAAACACTGCAGACACTTAGTTTTGAACTTCCTGACAGCAAAATCGGCATTCAGTTTGACTCATTAACTGCAAGTTCACCCACCTACACCAGTATCTTGTGTGAACCATTATTAATGAACTATTATTAAGTATTTTAAAATCTTATTATGCACTCTGTACATGTTCGATATATCTAGTCTCACCTACCAATGTTGCAACTCCACACTGAACGATAGCAAACCCACATTGAGTGGTCCCATTGAGTTGGGTAAATTAATGTTCAACCAAATGCAGAACAAAAGACCATAACGATTGCATTAGTAGCCCTTATGTCCGTGGTAAATTGCAGGGATGTCTTAGCTGAATCACAGCAAAATCTTGTAATAACACTTCAAACTTCAGGTTCATTTCATGCTCCTGTTCTCTGCATATGATTTTACGAAATATATTCTTTCAGGTAGAGGAAACTCATTGTTGTTATCCAGCCGAACAATATTAAGAAGTGTTCTCAATGCAACTAGCAGTAAACCGCATTTCAAACCGTCTTAAAGAAATTTCGTAACTAGTAACTGTGATTGACGATGTACGAAGTGTTCTCAAAGCGATTATTCTAGTAGTACCGGTTTACATCGCCGCCAATTTAAATGGCCTGTAGATAAGATTGACGGAAAGCCTGAGGCGACATGGGTAGAGAAGTCCTAATTAAAAAGATGGCGTCGAGAGTATGGTGAACTTTGCTGTACAGGGACTGACTGACAGTTCAAAATTGTGATGTGTCCGTAAAACTAATCTTGATATATAAGTTTTATATATACAGGAGTAGGGCTAGCCTATAATGTACTCTGGTAAAGGGACCAAGCAATAAAAACACTTGCGTGTTTCCTTGTCGTGTTAACAGACAAACCGTACAAATGTGCTTCTTAATTACTTTAGAAATACAAATCTGCAATTCAGATAAGCTAATTTCGATTTCACAATGCCATGAATTGCAAAAAATCACAAATGACAAATGTTTAAATATCCAGGAAAGAGCGCAAGATCACATTTCAACTAAGGTAGTTAAAGGCTACTTGATAAATATATCTAATCTCGTCACATCACTCATTAATGAACCCTATCTTACATTAGTGCTAAGCCATTCCTGATTCAACCATCATTTAAAATCTACGTTAACTCAATTTGCATGAACACTATGTTTTGAGCAAGATGTCAGGCTTGATCTAAACAATAATAGAGTGGAATTTTTGAGACACCATCCAATGAGAATGCGGATTAGTTGTGAGAAGGAGAGTACGTAAGAATTCACATATTACAACTAACCCAAAATTAAATACTTGCGGATGCACGCTTGTAAAATCGGTCAACAATAACGAGGACTCCAGTCTGTCAAATTCCATTCGCGATCATCCAAAACAACAACTAATATTACAACGGTAAGCAGAGTTAACAGTAAATGAACACATCAAATGCGGTGAATTACCACTAGTTGTGACTTTGCATAGTGTTCCAACAATACCATTGCAGTAAAACAAAGCGTTGCACGAAAATGACATAACAGATGTTCCACCTGTCATCGTGGAAGTGCTGACTACTTTGGATTATAAGGACTAAGTCAAGGAAGCCGGGCATAGGTATAATTGGTTGCGAGGCGAGTATTCATTTCTGACAGTTAACCTATATCTGGATAAGTGTGTTGTTGTGGCAATTTAAAAGTCATGCAGTGTTTTTGTCACGTCCAGGGTTCACCTATCAAAGCAATCGGCGTTGTCACAAATATCTTGAACCAATCATCTGTTAAACTGTCAACGCTAGGCCTTTCGTAAAAAATGTCTCAGTCAAATTATTTGATGACAGTGTTTAGTCTCGTGTGGCCTTGTAGCTCTTGACATCTTGGTTTATCCGTAGTTAGGCTGGTGCCTCGGTGACAGCTGCCCTAGACGATAATAATGATGCAGGTTGTTACGGCGACGCTGAGGAAATGCCATATTCGTGTGCCCTGATTTATGTCCACGGGTCTCTGCATCATTCATCCCAACTGATTCTACTGCCTTGTTTGGCGGCGTTTCACCATTCAAATCACGGATTTACTTCTGTGCTCGTTCGCATTCATGTAATACTGTGTGATCATCTTAATCAACATTTGCGAGCACAGTTCCCCTTCTCAATTATTTGTAATGACAATACTGGCTCTAAGAAAAAAACCGATATTGATTTCGATGCTGTCCTTGTAAAATTTCACTTTCTGGTTGGCAAAGTTGGCTCAATTTAGTCAAGTCGATCGATTATCAATAATACGTATACGTCAAAACATTCGTTTTACTTTGACATCAAG